AAGCATCCTGCTAATTTCACTTCCTCAGAGAGGCCTTCCAAAAGCTCACCCATTTAAAATAACACCCACTCCCTTTCATATCCACTTTACATACAGGGGTTGGCTTTATTTTTCTTTCAGGCATTTATCAACCAAATTAAAATAATAGGACAGGAACTTTGTTTTCCTCACCTAGAATATTCCTAGCACTAATGAGCACCCAAGAAATTACTTAATAAAAAAAATGGGAAATATTCTTTGCTGAAATTAAAATATTCTTTAGCCATAGCAAAACACAAAATTGCTAGCTTCCTGAAACATTTTAAATTGTTTTAAAGTTCTAAATTCACCTTCATGTTGAAACAATTATTTCTGAATAAATTATTCATTATTTGTTAAAGTTCATTTGGACACCAAAATTACAAATATATTAATTTAATTTTAAATGTTGTTGTAAGTGGTGTTTTAAGCTGCTGAACATTTAAAAGTYTAGCATTTCTACTAGTGCTAGCTTTTACAAAGCAAACAAAAACTCAATAACAGAAGAAAGGAAATTAGAATCAAACCAAAACATTACAATGTACGGGTGCCACTATACCCTAAGATTTTTAAGTACATACATAAAGCTAAGAAAATGAAGAGATAGGGGGAGGAATTAAAAGCAAACAAAGCACAGAAAGACCAGTCTTGGGAGACTTCATTAATTTCATTTTTWACTTAAGCAGTATTTCCTTTTCTTGATGTCTTATCATATGTATAGACAACTGAAATCTAAATATTTACATGGTCTGAGACATTAGTTCTTTTCTACATACTTTTTCCTAGATTTAACATAAATACCCCCAAACAGATCAACTTTTTTTCACCTGAAAGAATATGAAGCAGATCAGAAGCAGAAGGGGAAGGCAGCTGGGTCACACAAAATCTCACCACCTGTTTTGTAGGAAGTATAATGGTAGAATCCCAACCTGCATTCACAAACACTGGAAACTAAACCCAGCATCATTAATCTCCATAGGGTCAGTATGCCTTTTGTTTTTCTAGTCCATTCACTTCTCTATTTTTCTCAAATTCCAACATCTCTGCTCCCATCAACTCAGTGGATGACCTTGAACACCTACCCACTTGACATCAAAACCCACATCTTTGACATCAAAACCCACATCTTCAACCTTCATCCTATTAACTGCTATCTGTTCTTGGCCAGTCCCTCTATGTACTAAAACCCATACTTCTCACTTACCCAAGATTAGACTGCAATAATTCTCTTAAGTGTTTCTACTTCCTATTCAACCATTCTCAAAAGCCCACAAATACCCTATTATCTTTCGTAATGCCCCAAACTATTCTTTTCATTTCAGCTAATGGCAACTCTGTACTAGTTTATCAGGCCAAAAATTGTGGTATCATTAAAAAAAAAAAAAAAACCTTACTCACATCCTACCTCCAAGCTGTCAGCAAAATCTACCTTCAAAATATATCCAAAATCCAACCACTGCTCATGCTTCTGTTGCTACCAACAAAGACAAAACCACCACTACCTTTTATCTAGACTCCCTGCAAGCATCAACCAGTTTCTATTGTGGGTCCCCATCCTCCTTGACCCTTTTAGTTGTCAGTAAAACAGCCAGAGGGATCCTCTTAAGATATAGATATCTGAGAGTAGAGCAAGACAAAAGCCCGAGGGAAGAATGGGGATGAGGTTTGAAATCAAACACCTTGTATATGTAATTTTGTCAAAATGAACCCAAATACTATGTATAATTATAATGCTCTAATAACAAAAATTAAGACCAAAAAAAAAAAAAGTAGAGCAAGCCGATATGGGAGGGAGGTGGAAAGGGAAAGGGAAGGTACTAGGGAATAAGATTGATCGAATTATGTGAATATACAAATATGGCATAATGAATTCCACTATTACATATAATTATAATACACTATTAAAATTATATATGTAAAAAATTAAAATAATTCCTGAGGGGAGGGTAAAATGAAACAAACAAAAAATATACAGTCTATAATCCCAGCACCTGGGGAGGCTGAGGCAGAAGGATCCAAATTCAAGGCCAGCTGGGCAACCTACTGAGGCCCTGTCTCAAAAMCAAACAAAACAAAACAAAACAAAGCAAAACCGCCGAGAACTAAAAAATAAAAATATTAAAAATTCAAAAAAAAAAAAAAAAGTCTGGGGATGTAGCTCAGTGGTAGAAACGCAGTGATTCAAGACTCCTGGCTTCAATCCTTCATACTGCAAAAGATATGTGTATATGTTTGTGTTTCACTTAATGAAAAAAATGACATTCATAATTTTAAAATCTTTTTAGAAAACAATTTTTCTATTTTCCAAAGGAAACTAAAAATTTTTCTTCCTCAAATCTTCTCAGGTATCAAGGAGAAAAAAATTAAGAAAGGGTGGTAACTACCAATTTGTTCCCCTAAATAACTTTACTCTCAATAAAGCCTTTTTCCCACCCAAAGGTGGATGGCCAAAGTAAAGGAGCAAGTCTCTATAATGCCAGTCCCATAGGTAAAGCAAGCAGGGCCGAAGGCACCAAATCTGTGTACTTTAATCTGACYGCCATCCCCCACCATTAACTCCCTCATCCTGCTTTTTTTCCTTAAAGCTTCCTTGATCTCTTTATTGCAACTGAAAAACATCCCTTATTCCCTATGCTCCCCTACCTTTGGGATTTGTCTTTCTGCTTGGATCTGATTTGGTCTGGTGCCAAACCTATGAAAAATTGACTCATTGTTCCAGGAAGATTTCTCAAGTAACGGCAATTAAAAGAATAGCTTTCATTGAGTTGGAACTGTCAGTATGCTGGCTCTGAATCACATGTCCACTGAAAAGACATTACTTACYAAGAGACAAAAGGACCTTACTCTAAACTCCAAATGGCAAATTTTGTGAAGCTGGTGGAAGATGAAGACAGTAAAGGTAAAAGGAAAGATGAAGACAATCTTTTAATAGAAATAGTATCCATTCAACTTCAGAGATATTTTAAATGTAACTAAACTCTACTACTCTACTCTTTTTTTAATATGTATTTATTTATTTATGTATCTTTAGTTTTAGGTGGACACATTATTTTTGTTTTTATGTGGTGCCGAGGATCGAATCCAGTGCCTCATGCATGCTAGGTGAGCGCTCTACCACTGATCCACCACCCCAGCCCTACTACTCTACTATAACTAAGTATTTTTTTTAACTAAGTTTACGAAGATACTCTTTCCAAGTCTTTCCTATCTCTGTAAATGGCAACTGCATACTCCCTTTGGCTGGGGCCAAAACCTTCAGAGTCATCTGTGACTGGTCTTTCTGTGCTGTTCCCTCTGCCTGGAATGCTCTTTCTTCAAATTATCTCAATGTTACCATGTCCACTTTCATATTTCTTCTAAAATATTCTCTTCTTAGTGGGGGCTTTCCTGAACATCCTGTTTAAAAATCAAACTGCACTCAATTCAGCCACTGCTGTCTTCGCAGACTTACTGTTCTCAAAACACTGGCATAATAYAGGCCATATCTGGCTCATTTCACTTATCAGTTTTCTGATGGTCTCTCCCTACCACAACAATTAGTAGAATGACACCTGACACAGTCGGGACCCTAATAATTTGTGTACTGAGTAAAAATGACTAAGTAAAATCGTAACTTTTGCCTCAGGAATGGCTATCATTTAATCTTTAAATTACTCACTCACTGGTTCCAATAAGCTCTACAACATCTTCCTGATACATACTGGTGGTAACATTTAGGAATAAATTTTACAAGCAATAAATACATGTCTCAGGGGCTGGGATTGTGGCTCAGTGGTAGAGAGAGCTTGCCTCACAAGTWTGAGATGCGGGGTTCAATCTTCAGCATCACATGAAAATAAATAAATAAAATAAAGGTATTGTATCCATCTACAACTAAAAAACAAAACAACAACAACAAAAAACCATGTCTGTTCAGTGCTGAACATACCTGTTCAGCACTTTAACACAAATAAGATGTAGCTCATTCTTTATCTTAGTTAACATAAACCTAGAAATTATTTGGAGAATTACAGGCAGCAGGTGGCATCACAGTTTTACATGATAAAGGTTTTAAGTTCACCTATACATACAATCTAGTTTTACCATTAAAGTGATGAAGTTTTCTATTGTTTTTCAGATACCAGCATTAACTAGACCCATATCTTGTGCTATCGTAACATTCTGAATCTCCAAACAGAAGTCCCAATGCTTACGTGAACTACTAAAATATTTAAGCAGTCAAGTGATTAAAATAAAAACCAAAAACCTCTGACTAAAGTGAGTTTAGTACACTGCCACAAGTCCTCAGTTTCAAACAGAATTAAATAAAGTTTTTTAAATATAATTAGTGAAAAATTATATTAATATTGACCAACAGTTAGGAGGGATCAGTGGTATCCAAAGAAAGAGAGCTGTCAAAGTTCTACTAGTCAAAGTTTTACTAGACTATTTTCTAAAAGTTATCCGAACTCTCTCTCAGCAACTGAATACACCAGAAATCTGTTCAAAGGTCGCAATTTATTTTCTGCAGCTTTGCAGAAAAAAAAAAAAAAACATTTAATACCAACTCTCGAAAAAGTGAATGGGGCATGATTTTAAAATTCTCAGTTAGCCCTGCATGTTCAGCTGACATGTATCAGCGACAAAATACAGAGCTAAAATCAGTCTGTTCCACAGTTCCCAGGATTCATACGTCAGTAAGTTCTTAGGCAATTCTGTGCAATTGCCGAGGGGGAAAAAAAAAAGTGGCAATGAAAGAACAGAGTACACAGGAACAGGACGCACTCCCGCGACCTCTTTCCTAACTAACAACAGTGGTGCGGACTTGTATCCAGGTTACTCAATTACAAGAATGGCAAGATTCTAGCAGTGGGTAATCTTTTCCACAGACAAAGGACTCCGCCAAGGTCTGCCCTGCATCTGTCACTCTCGCACTTCCACGACCCAGCTCACCCCAATGCCCCTAGAAGCTCGCGGCTCGCCGGGCCTGGGTACCCTCTCACCGTCGCTGCACTTGTACTGGCAGAGCCCGTCCTCGCCTCCCAGGAGGTCCAAGGCGGCGTTCAGGTACGTGTCTATCTTGTGAATGCCGTTCCGGATGGTCTTCAGGGTGGCCCTCCAGTCGGTGGTCTGATCCTGCTCCTGGCACCTGACAGGGGCGGCCAGCAGGAGCAGGAAGACAAGTGCGGTCCGCGGAAGCACGGCCATCCGCGCAGTGCTGGGCCGCGTCCAGCCCCWGCCCCACCCGTCCGCGGAGCCCCCGGGGCGCCCTAGGCGACGGCGCGGGCTCCGGGCTCGTCGGCTCCCGGCGTCATGCCCACGCCTCCTTCTCGGCGGGCTGGCTGGCTGGCTGGCTGGCTCCAGCCGCCTTCGCACAGCTGCCGCGAGGAGGCGGTCTCCGCGTCCCCAGTTGCCAGCTCTGAGCCCAAGGCTCACGTGCGCGCCTGCGCCACAGCGTGGCGCGTCAGAGGCGCGAGCGCGCGCGGCGGCGGCTCCAGCGCCCACGTGGTAGCGCCAGCGCGCTCCCGAGACCTTCCGCCCGGGCCGGTATGAGAACCGCCTGAGCTGGCCTCTCCCCAGAAAGTAGTCAAATTATCCTGGTTTGGGAAGCAGKAGACACTACTACTTTTTAAAAGCCATCCGCGTGGTTGTACCGTGTGGTCACTATGGGGACTGACCCCCATAGACTCTCCTGGGTTGTCGGGCTTCAGCTCTGCCTCCCCCAAAGAAAAAATTGGGGGAGGGGGGTGGTTCTGGACAACTTGAGAGAAATGAAATTCCGTGCTCTCTTGCAGAGAGTGATGCCAGGGTCCAGCTCAGTATCGGGGAGTGCGGTTGTCACCTGGGAAAGCCTGGCTTTGTCTTCCCAAGTCTTCACCCCGACCTCCAGACCACTGTGCCTGCCATTGGAGGAGCTGAATTTAGTTAGAGATGTCAATCCAAGTCCTCAGGGGTAACAATGTAACCAGGWTGAGCTAGATGCTGGTTTGGATTTTCTGGAAGAAGAAAATGGTTTGACGGTAAAAACCACAGGTTTTTTTGTTCTGTTTTGTGTTTGTTTTTTTGCCTTTTGGGCAGGTAAGGCAGATTCAGTAGCCTACGCTTAAATACAGTAAAGCAAGATGAAACTTAAAGAAACCATGGTTTTCCTAGGCAAAGTATTTTGAAACTTGATAGTTCTAGTGACATTTCTCTGTATTTTTCCCAGGCACTGTGCAGGATCCATAAATAACGATTGCAGTACTTTTTACCAGAGCTATAAATATCTGATTCTCTTATTATCTCAGCAGTTGCCGAGAACTGCATAGTAGGATCCAAGGCAATGTTGCAATTGTTGAGAAGAGGTGTGTTCTTTCTAGTTTGGCATTTTGCTACAAGTTTTCCAAGCTTGTAATCAATGTGCAGAGTTCATATGAATCACATACCTTTGTTGAATGCTTCTTCTGTGCCATTTGGGCATTTCACATACATGATCTCTCATATTTAGAACCCCGCTTTATAGGACACAGACTTTGACCMGTTAAAGAAAGGGGTTAGCCCAAACTCAAGAGTTAGTGAAGATCAGTCAGACTTTTGTCCACACTCAGCTCCCAAGCCAAGTTCTTTGATATGTGATCAGCTCACATCACACTGGATGAAGGGAAGGAATGTGCCCAGGGAGGTATTATCCTCCTTTTGATTTTTTTAACAGTGAACAATTCCAGGTGAAGAGAAATCATGTGATATCCACTTATCAACCAAGGCCTCCCAATATGCAAAAAAAAAAAAATCTCTCTCTTTTTTTTTTTTTTTTTTTTTGACAGTACCTTTCAACACATTAAGAAAGAAGGGGAGCAGCTTCTGCTGTGAGGACACAGATTTAGTCCTCTGTGTCTCAATTCTCTTTAGGGATTAAATTTTCAAACACCAGTTTCTCTGATTAATGGAACTACATACTTTTCCTCTTCTACTGAAAACTACATCTTCTCACTGAGCTTCCAGAGGCACCTGTGAGGATGACCTAAGGCCTGAGCCTAAGCAACTCCATTTTTAAAAACTCCAGTTTGAAACCTGCAGTCTCACCAGGCACACCCTTAGACCCCTCCAGTTGGCCTCTCAAGCAAGTTACTTCCCCTCACCCTGATAAACAGAGTGAAGCCCCTGGCAGGCTGTCCTCACTTATCAGGMGAGAAGATCAGGGTGGAGACCACCAGACCAGATGTTTCTGACCCCAGGGTAAATGATGTCACTCTCACCCAGGTCTGAGTGAGTGTGCATCTACTGGACATAAAGCCTAAGGCTTAAGACTTTTGAACTTAGCCTGCAGAGGGAATGTCTGTCATTAGCCTGTTATGATTAAGTGTGTTTTGCAATGCTTAGAATTAATCTAGAATTGTTTCCTGTATTAATTAATCTAGAATTGCTTGCTATGAATTGATTATGTCTATTCCAGTGCCTAGCATCAAGGATTGTCATTTTCTTGATTAAGAACCTATAGAGTGAAATTRTATTGAGTAATTTGAGTGAATAAAGTATTGAAAGGGACAGAAGCACGTGGGCATTCTTTATTTCTCCCCTCGACTGCATAGGTTGCAATTTTGTCCCCTTGCGACACACCACAAATTTAAAATGTACCTTCTTCTTTTCTCCTGTTCCCTTTATTTCTGCAATCAATGGCAATACCAATCACCTCATCCTCTAAGAGGACATCTAGTGACTACCCTAGACTCAAAGCCTTCTCCTACTACCCTGCTATCTACTTTGTCCCTAGATGTGGTCTTTTCACTCCTTAACATCTAGGATCAGGGTCATCCTCTATCCCTACTTTAGTTTCTACCTTTATCAGTTTTCATTTGGATGCCCCAGTTGTCTTCTGTCTTTCCTGTCTCATTCTAACCCTGTCTTCCACACATCTTCCTCTCTGCCTTCAACTCAAACTTTCCAGTTTTCTTCAGTAGTCCCAACTCTTTGGCATTTGCCCTCCTTGAYATTGTTATAGTTAAAGCTTCGTCCAGGGGTTTCATAAACTAACTTCCAGACCACTCACATATAATCGTATCAAGCCTTTATTGAAGCACACCGATGGCGGCTGACCAGAACATAAAGCTGTTCCCCTGATCAGCCCCGAACAATTGCAAGGGCACTCCTTATAAGCCTGAAAAACACAAAAGGGATGTTTGGGGGTCCAGCCATTGCAAGCAAGCCAAGTTACAGAAGAGGGAGAGTGCAGTCAAGCGGAGGGAAGCCTAAGCAATCACAGTTAGCCCAGTCACCCCAGTTACCCCAGTTACAGAAACAGAGCCCCCTTACCCTAGTTACAGAAACAATACCCCATAGGTAGTTCTGTGTTCTTAAAGGTTTCTATAGCAAAAGAAAAAGAACACCTTGCCCCAGTCATGACTCTTCTACTTGGCATAGTTGTTTTACTGGATGAAGTCATAAAACAAAATGGAGTCACATTTGCTCCTACTATCACATTATGTTCTTTTCTCCTTTTCCAGCTCTTAACCAGCCCCCTTGGCTCTAGACACACTGACCTGCTCTCTGTTCCTGTGTGTGATTGACTCTTTAAACTGCAAAGTCTTTGCATTTGCGTCTGCCTGGAAATTCTTCCATGATTCAGATGAAGCTCAGAGGCCCTCTCTGACACTTCAGGTGGATTTCTCTTGAGTTTTTCTTGCTATTGTTCCTGGCAAAGTGCAGCTTCAGAATTTATTTTTCTTGTCTACCTCCTAAGATGGTGAGCTCAAAGAGTAGGGTTAACCATAATGTGATGGTAGAATGTCACATCCAGTGAGCTCTGCTCTTTGAGTACCTTTAGCAAAGTCCATGTTAACTCAGAGATGCAGCAGTGGCCAACAGTATAGCAACATCCTTCAGTGCTCAGCCTCTGCAGTACAATGTATGCAAGGATAGTGGGCCTTTTAGCAGCAGTAAAAATCTCTGATGGAGCAACCTCCTGTGGTCTTTGAACAYTATTCCTAGATGCATAGACTCCAATTCTGTGGCTGTCTAGGAGATTTTGTGAAAAAAACTATTTATTTATTCATTCTCCTGGTGGTGAGGATTGAACCCAGGGCCTTGTGCATGCRAGGCAAGCACTTTACCAACTGAGCTATATCCCCAGCCCCAAATTATTATTTATATTATTATTATTTACTATRMCAATTAGATTGGCTTCWATAGTCTGTGATTAGAGGAGTTCTGAGTCAGATCTCTAACCTGGGAAAACCCTGAAGTCAGYTCATTCCAGTACTGCTCTACCTGATATCTGCCACATGGAGCCACTTTGGAGAGCTGTCCTTGAGGACCTCACCTTAGTCAACCCTGCTTTGAAGCCCCCAGTACTGGGGGGCTTAACCTTAACCCTTTGACACCCCTCCTATTCCTGTACAGACTCAYCTGGTCTGTTGAGGAGCCAAGATACTAATGCTTTCCCAGTCTACAGACTTCAGTTCTTTTTAATGGTCTCATATACAGACATCTTCTAAGGTGCCAGAACTGTTGRGTCAGGACTTGATGGTTTTAAAACATATTCTCAAATTCTTTGTGCTTCAGTCAGCTCTTTTGCTGCCATGACCAAAAGACTTGACAAGAACAGTTTTTGAGGAGGAAAAGCTTATTTGGGTCTCAGGGTTTCAGAGGTCTCAGTCCATCGACAGCTGGCTCCACAGGCAGGCCCAAAATGAGGCAGGATATCATGATAGAAGAAAGAGGTAGAGGAAAGCAGGTCAGGACATGGCCATCAGGAAACAGAGAGACTAAGCTAGGCTCATCAGGGACAAAATATAAACTCCAGAGACACGTCCCCCAGTAACTCATCTCCTCCAGCCACACCCTACTGCCTAGCGCTATCACCTAGTTAATCCCTATCAGTGGATTAATGTACTGATAGGTTAAGGCTCTCACAACCCCATAATTTCACCTCTAAACTTTCTTGCATTATCTCACACATGAAATTTTGGGGGACCCCTAATATCTAAACCTTAACACTTTTACACCCCTCCCATCAAGAGATGGATTTTGGGGGTTGGGATGGGGGCTCCGTGGTGGAACACTTGCCTATCATGTGTGAGGCACTGGTTTTGATTCTCAACACCACATATAAATAAATGAATAAATAAATAGAATAAAGGTATTGTGTCCATCTACAACTAAAAATATGTTAAAGAAAAAAAGAGAAAGAGATRGATTATGTCCCCTTCTCTTGAACCTGGGGATCTTGAACACTAGGTAGAGAGAWGAGAATAAACTTCCAAGGATAGGTTAGAAAAAAACTATACGTGTTCTGCACTTTCTCTTGGTACATTCATCAGCTGCTGTGTGAGAAGTCTGGCATCCCTGAGTTGGACTCCATTTTTGGACTCCATGTG